AGAGCGAACGGCTTATTTAATTGCAATATATCATGGTTATAATTATTAAAAAACCAAACAAATGTGTTTTAAGAAAGTCTCATTTCTCATTTCGACTTAAATTTCATTAATTTAAAAATGCTAATGCCTTGTATTCAAATAAGAAATTCCTTGTGTTTCCCGCTCTTTTTGCAGTTGTTGTTCAATTGGCATATCTGCATATAAATTAATCAGTTACGGAAATGACCGGTGTAACTTATATAAAGAAGAATTTTAATGAGATACGTGGACTTACATTTATTAGCTTTACAATAGTTTCGATAATTTGGACAAAATTTTTAAGCATGAATTATAGGTAGATAGAATATGAAAATGACCTCAATTATTTCCTTTAAATAACGGCCATCAACTTTTTTATGTAACTGAGAACGCTAAACCTTATAACAATTGCCTCAAACACAATACCTATTATCCTTTTGAAGCGATTTGAGTTTTTCATTTCAGAATGCTTGTCAACCATTGTTATATTGGATTAATATACGACCACAATGGTGACTTGGATCGTTTACATTGAATTCATGATAAATTATTAATTTCATTAAAACTTGTTAAATTTATGAATTTATCTATATGAATCGACGTAATTAACTGATTAGCAAGCTTAGCCAAATTTTCAATCAAATTTGTACAACAATTATATGACACGATTATAAATGGCATTCAATATTTATCATTTCTGATTAGGTTCACTCCATCAATCGTTACAAGATAAGAACTTGCTAGCGAGTCGCTTGATCATTTTTCTCAGGAAGTGCATATGGTTCGTCAGAATCTGGGTTTTTCAAAGATTCGCACTCACTAGGCAGAAAGTTGAATCAGGATATGTGAGGAATAAAAATTCGGCTACTCTTCTAAGTTATCTCCATATATTTACTTTATGCTGATAAGGGTACCAGGCCTTAATGTAAATAGTGAAAGATTTGCATTATTACGGATAATGATTAAGATTATGATTGATTCAGATTCCGCCTAATCAATAAAATTTTCAAAATAAAAAGAATATAATAGAGAAAGGAAGATTTAACTCAATTTCACAACGAGCAAAAATAAAGTTAGCAACGACGTTCATAGATTATCCTTACAAAAAAATTGTTAGCTGTGCAGACATTTAAATGATAGCAAAACTGCAAGATTGGTAGGAGAATAAAATTGCATTTCACACTTAATCATTTAATTATCTTATATAAGTACCTTAAAAACCAGCCATAAATCGCTTTTACTTTATTTTAAGAAATCTTATATTGTGTATTTACATTAATGTGGTAAAAAAAGCTTTTCTCGGAAAGCTAGCGAATCTTAAATTTCCAATCCAAACAATTGATAATTCTAATTCATTTGTTGAAAAATATTGTCAAAGCAAATAATTTTGGCTACATATGATTAAAAAGTTTCTATGCATTAGAAAGAAAAGCCAAAAAGCCATTATTTCCTTCTTTACTGTAAAAAGAAAGGAAAGGAAGGGAATAACTTGTGAGATTCGCGCTTGAATCTAAAACCAAGACAGAGAGAGATATTTCGATGTTCGGAGAAAAATACACCGAAATAATTTGATAGTTAATATTATATTGTAGTTACTGTCCGAGATAGATTTTTTAATGCTACCAAATTTATGCTTATAAGTAATTTCTGATCTAAACCATTAAACAAAATTAAATGGCACATAAAATAATGATGCAAAAGAATTTGTTCAAAATTTTCAAATTTATAAATAAACTATTAAAATATTATAATTAAAATTGTGAGAAATTACAAATGATTAAGTTCAGTGCATATGGCTTCTTTTCTTCTTTTTTCTTCCGTAACTGATGATTCGATTCTTATAAAAATGCAATTTTGAGTAATCTAACAAAATTTTTCAAATTTTCTTTTTATCTACTAGACATCTTTTATTTTTCATATTTTCTCATGTTTTATTTATATTTTTTACCCACCACTCTTTTCTTTTGTTTTACTTGTTTTTTCACTTATTTCACTGTAACATTAAATAATAATGCCCATAAATTCGTTTAATTTTACTATTGCACATTGAGTGCAATTACTGTAATGCGCTTGAACTTCAATTTTTGTATTTATGACGATGGAAATAGGTTTACCTATACCGATATCCTTTAACTTGCGTCACAATTAATAATTTCACAGAAGAACAACGCATTTTTGCCAGCAATTGCTTAGGTTTTATTGCTCAAAAATTCGACTTGTATTTTGTTTCCTTTATTTCGCTTTGAAAGATCTCAATGAAAGAGTATTTGTATTTGCATGGTGCGTACTAAGCATTTGATGTATCATTTATCGCAAAATAATTCAATATTTTTAAAACTTAAAAGAAAATTTCACTCTTCAAAGTTCCTATGAAAGTTGTCACATCGCAAAACGCTGATTTCATTTTTATCTTACGTTTTCTCGTAAATTTTTTCAAATTTTTTTTCGAATTGCGAAAAATCAAGTAACATTTTTTTATAACTTTATTGCCTTCAAAATTCATAGTGCCTTGAAAAAATAAGATGGTATTGAGGATGCAACTAATACCGACCAGTACGATCACAGCTATAATCACATCAATAGCCGATTACCGTAGGCTTCAGCACCCAATTGTTTTAATGATTGCCAATGATTTAATGTGAGGAGATCAATCAATTCTGAAAATCTCTTTTTCAATGGGATCATTCGTCAGAACCCCTGCTGTTCTATTTTCGGCTTCTGTTTTTGGCTTATTTGCCTCCTATGAAGTATCTTATACCATATTAATCAACTTTAAGCTGCCATCTGACAATAAACAATAAAAAAATATTTTCATCTTACCAATTTTTTCTTCAATTCTCTCGAAAAATCTTAGGCGAAGTGACTAGCATTGCTCAGAAGGTGGATTAACATAAGTATTTTACGAATACCTTCTTACTATCGATTCGTTTATAAACATTGATGAAATCTCGCTGGATTATTTGCTACCTACAACGAACTATTCTAGAATAATAACGATGAGCCTGGAATGGTCGAGCACCAAATTGTTTTACCTCGAATCATGGCTTTGATCATAGTCAAAGTAAGTTTGAAAACAAGGTGCTGAGATCCAATATTATATAATATTGCTTATGAATAATATTATTCCTGGACAAGAGTCAAATGTAGTTTTTTATATGTCCAAATTCGTTTTGTTTCGGTTTGTGATTAAGGTTCATCTGCTTGACTATCTTGTATAGAAGCTATTATCAGAAAAGTGAACGTATTGTTTTGAACAATTAATTGCCGCTAAACTTCCTTCTACATCCTATTAAAAAGAATTAAACATGCTTAAAAAATTCTGGCAAAAAATAATCGCATAAAAATAATCATAAAAATAACCTAAAGCTTGCAACCATTCGAAGCTGTATAAAATGGATTGACGGTACTTATTAAAGCACTTGTAGTGGCCTTTATATTTTGTTCTAAGCCTCGTAGTACCAATTTAAAGTTCTCCTAATTCGAATAAATGATATTGATGATAATTTTATCAACAAATTACATAAAATATTTGGAGAAGCAATTTTTTTTGAAGAGACCTAATAATCTGATGATAAGAATATTTCATTAATGGCATTAAAATTATCTTTTATGGTCATTTAGCAGCTTGCAATACCTTTGATATCTCAGATTCTCCGATTCCTAATTTTCATTTTGACAGATTTTTTAGTTTTTATGTAATAATTTTCGAATATAATTAGCAGCAAGTCAAGCTGAAACAAATTGTCGAACTATATTGCACAAGCAGTCTTCGTCGAATTATGCCATTTTTTCGTATTGATCTTAATCAGAAATTATAACAATCATGTTATGAAGTAAAATAATTTCCAAAAAAATTCTTTCAAAAAAAATTTCAATGGATTTATGAAAGACCATAGTTTTTATTAGTTCATTAACCTTCCAACCTTAGTAAAACCACTCATTATGGTCGCAGTTCACGACCTAAAACAGCTTCCACTTCCATTTCTTATAGAGACAAAAAAATTTCTTTTAGAAAAATATGTATATTTCGGTTAAATAAGAATATGTCGGTAGCGTTATATACAATGAATGTAAGCGATCGCATAATGAACATATGGCAGATTTAGATAGTCTGCTTGGATTAACTGCGACAATCCAAAAATTATGCTAATTTTTCGGCAGCGGTGGCATTCCTTAAAAGAATATTTCATGAAACGAAACAGATTGAACTGATGTTATGCTGCAACAGATTAGTACAACGATCTAAAGCTGACGTTAAATACCTAATATGGCAACAATTTTTTTCGGGGATTCTCTTGAAAAAAAACTATAATTTCTTATTTGCTTGTACAACAGATTATTTAAAATTGCCACTGAGAGATGTATGCCTTATGTCATTCAAACCAGAATAATATTTCGGCTTTCCTGAAGTAAGAGTCTCATCTCTTCTTGTAAGCTATGCTATAAACATGTGGTCATCTAAAGAAATAATGATTAACTTTCTTGCTTGAAAATAACTAGAAATTTTGAAAATAAAGATGAAAATACACAAATAACTCAGAAAGGAATTCGTTTTATTCAACAAACAAATTTACTGAAACAAAATGAAAATGAATAAGTAGCAAAAAACTGATATTGAAATAATTAATTTTGCTTAAAATCTTTATCAACTGATTTTTGAAAGGGCATACTCTCTACATTCAGAATACCTCATCATGATCAGTGACCCGTGATTTTAATCCCATTTACTCGTCGAATTTACCCCATAATTTTCTCATCAACATTTGTTCAAGAATAATTTAACGCAGCAATGCACCAATAGATTTTTTAAATAAATTATTGCCAAAGCCTGCATTTGTTTAATCAACGACCATAAATTAGCAACAATTGAATTTTATGAAATTCGATGTTAAATCCCTTTCAGGTAAATTGCTAAAATGTTGAAAAAAATGGCAGATTAAAAATACATAAAGAGTTGAAAATATCCAGTTTCAGATTCAGGACATACTGGTGTGAACCAACTCGGAGGTGTTTTCGTGAATGGTCGACCACTACCTGATTCTACCAGGCAAAAAATAGTCGATTTAGCTCATCAGGGTGCTCGTCCATGTGATATTTCTAGAATTCTTCAAGTTTCCAATGGGTTGGTCATGAGTTTTGAAACAGCGTCATCAATAAAAAAACTTCTATGATACCATTAATTCATTCTTATTCTTGATAGCACCATTTATAGCGCTTTTGTAAGGCATTTTTCCAGGTGCGTGTCAAAAATTTTATGCCGATATTACGAGTCAGGAACAATTAGACCAAGAGCAATTGGTGGATCAAAGCCTAGAGTTGCTACTGTTAATGTCTGTGATAAAATAGAAAGTTATAAGCGTGAACAGCCATCGATATTTGCTTGGGAGATCCGTGATAAATTATTAAACGAGAAAGTCTGCACGCCGGACACAATTCCTAGTGTAAGAATATTTCAAAAATTTATTATATAAGCCTAAATGCAGTAAGAAAAAATCCATTATTAAAGCATATGCAGTAGGAAAATTATTTTCATTATCTCTTGATTCCTAATTTCTCAATAATTTTTAAATTATATTTTCTCTTTGAAATTATTTAATCCAGCGTTTTAATTTAATAGATCAGCAAATATTCTTATCTTAATAATTGAAAATTGCTAACTTTTTGTGAAGCATGGAAAGCTAAAGCTGCTAAGAAGCATTGATTGAATTAAGAAAAAAGATAGTAGTTAAAAATTTTCGCAATTCAACTCAGTTAAGAAATAAACATTTATGCGATATTCCGGTTTTTCCAAAAACCCTGTTTCATCATTCTCCTTATTTCAGCAGATATTTTCGATTTATTCACCTTTTTGTTATTTTCATTATATTGTAATTATAATTATTATTAGCTTTGCAAAGACGTATCTGCTAAAATTAAAAAATGCCAAACTAAGAAAAGTATCTCACAAGTTAATTTAATAATCACTCCATTCAATTATTATATGTGAGAAAATTTGCGAAAACTTACAGTACCTAAACAAATTCAAAGGTAATCACGTGTTTATTTTGTAAAACCAAATAGTAGTCAACGCAAATAATAATTGATCAGAAACACTAAATACCTTCTTATATAAACCTTCAATAATATAAATTCGTTTACACGGAAACAAAATTTTATGGCTTGGCATTTGGTAGCAAAAAATTTGAGCTAAAAGTTTTAACTGAAACTTAATTCTTAACTTAATTTAATTTCTTAACTTAATTTTTTCGAATTTTTTTTGTCATTTCTTTGTTTTTCATTCTCATCAATACATGTCAAACCGGATTCAAACGAATTCATTATAGAAATGTATTAATAAACTTATAATAAACTTACACAGTTTTATATTGGGTGTCCAAGATAAAGCGGTAGCTATCTTGTTAAAAGTATGGATTAATCGCATATGAAGTATCCATTAATGGTTGAAAACAGGATATTCCTAATGGATTACTAGTGAATGTAAACCAATTAGCTTAGTTATAAGTAATTTTATAAATGCTTAAATTTTTCGTTAAAATTCATTTTGTTTATAGCGTTTATTTATTGCTGCTGCCGACAATCATTTTCTTATACTCAAATTTCCGTGAACTTTCTGAAATTTTTGCGCTTTTGATAAGATCATACTAATACTAATTCGGTTGCTCATGAATTAGGCAATAGGTATTGGTATATTCTGTTAAAGTTTGCTCAAATAAACAGAATGTTCGCTCAATTTATACGGCAGTTTTGTCAAACAATTTTCCAGTTTGAAAGCCAGGAAATTGAAAATTCCGCATGGCTTGTTTTGTTAACTGCTGCATCGTAGTTGGTCGGTAATCTTCAGAATTTAGTTCTCTAAGAGTTGAAAATTTTTTCATCCTATTTTTCATTTATTAAATATTGCACTTTTGTATACTTTCCTTGTGCAAATTCAATTTTATGAAAATTATCAACATAACGAAAAATCATTTGAAGTTTTAAAATGCAAAATTACGTTCTCTATAAGGTCTGAAGATATGAAAACCGCTTAAGACTTCTGGCGATGCGTTTAGATATAGTTATACAATGGCGGCTATTTATTATAACCGCGTGATAGGACCTGCTATTTCCTGCAAAAATATAATTTTTAATAATTATAACAAAAATAATTTAATAATTATAACAAAAAATATAACAAAAATATAACTTTTAATAATTATAACTAATAACCTTTTAGTAGTTTTTGTTACTTTTTATAATTTCTAAAACCCAGTTAAATTTTAAGCCAACACGGTAAATCACTTTGACTTGAGGCGGGTTGCATAATTGTAAATATAATTGATATTTTCATTGGAATTATTTTGCAAAGTGACGGATATTTTATTTCCATATAAATGGTGGAAAATAAAATGAAAAAAGCTCCTGCGAGTTCAAATTTTTTAAATTTTTTTCAACCTATTTGCATAAATAACATCATAAGGAAATCTGGTAAAAGGTATTTATAAGGATAGGAAAAAATGATAGCACTAATTTTTTGGTTAGGTTTAGTTCAGCTGGCTTTTATTACGGTTAAAAGTTCCTTGCCAGGACTTGAAGATTCAAACATAAGTGGCACCCAGGACTTTTCAATAAAAGATTTACCGCTGTCGCAACAAAACCTGAAGAAATTCCCTCTTAAAATGATAATCTGTGCTGGCTATCTTGCCGTTTGCAAAACCAAAATTAATTTTGCTTACGAAGATTTTTTTTCTCAAAAAGATTTCTTATTAAAATTTCTTATTAAAAGAAAACGTTCATCCATTTTCATAAATATAGAAGAAGCAAACAGTAAGATAGCTAGCACAGAAGAAGAAGCAAACGTGCTTTCGAAGTTTATCTAAGAATTATTTACTTGCTTCTAAACCTTACCAATTTATTTGTCATAATACGCATTTATGAATTGGAAGGTGTACAATTTATCATAAAAATTTTAGAATAAAGTAATATCGATGAGGTTACCTCTCCCTTAAAACTTAATGCAAAAAACATCTTTAAAATAGATAGCAAGAAAATAATACTCTCTTGCTTTGTCATAAGCCCGCTTTCATGACCGTCTTCATCTGCGGATTTTTTACATTTCCTTAATTTTCCTCAAGAAACTATGTTTGGCTCTTTACAAACATTTCTTTACAAACATTCATTTAAAAATTGAAAGAATTTTGGAGACAAGCTTGTTGTCAATTTATTTCTCTTCGCAATTTTTTCATGGTTTTGCTCAACATTTGCATAATATTAAATTCTTTCATTACTGCTGGTGCTCAAGAATTCGTTTTTTCCAAAAATAGTCTCCTTTCCTCTCCCCAACCTTCCGCCCTTTCCACCGAAAACTTTTAATTTTAATTTAATTTTCTGAGATTTATTATTCATTTATAATGACCATCGACGATTTTAACCTAATTCTTTCGAATGTTTAATAAAATCTTCTTTAAATTAGTGTAATGTAATGATTCGTCGATTATTACAAAAATTATTAGAGCTTCTGTTTTAGAAAAATGAACAAAGATAAAATTGCAAGTAGCTAATTATAATTGTAATTGTAAAAAATTGTAAAAAATTTGTTGCAAATTATAATGATGCACCAATAATAATTATTAACCTTTCTAGCTAAATATCTTTAGCTCTTAAAGACAATTAAAGGCTTGTTGAATATTGTTAGAAATTTTAATTTTATGTTTTGCACATTCATAAATAAATAAATGGATAAATAAATATGGACTATAAGAAAATTACGTACAACATAAATACTACTACTACTACTTTTACTATTTTACTATTTTAAGACAATCATTATTGCTAAATATTTTTATATACTTTTAATTTGCTTTTAAAATTGAAATACAGGAATAAAAACGAATACAGAAGAAAAAAATATCGTAAAAATATCATATGTAAATATGTCTTTCTCCAAAATTTCCACAATTGGTTTAAAGTTTATAAATCGCTTTCTAGAAATGTGCAGATTTCAGCGATTTTGCTTTGGATACTCATTCATCTTATACTCCTAAGATCGTAAGCCTGGACCATGCAGAAATAATTAGTGAATTTATGTGGAATCGGTGAATTTCCATAAATTATGTGGAATATTATAACAAAGATAATTGTTCCAGAAAATGTGTGGTTCTTCTTATGGTTAATATGCAATTCTCTTCTTTTAGGTATCTTCCATTAATCGCGTACTGCGAAATTTAGCGGCTAAGAAAGAGCAGCAAGCGATGCAAAATGATTTTTATGATCGTGCCCTAAGGTATTCAACGACTCAATGGTATAGTCAGTGGCCAATGAATATGCCTGCTGCAGTTGGTTTAACACCTTTTCAACCAATTGGACAACCAAATCATATTGACAAGAAGGACCTAGGTTTTTTAATCTTTTATTTTTCTTTGTTACCAATATTTGAGTCTACAGTTTTATTCATTTGTAATTTGCACGAATGGAAAGTTTAGGGCGTTTAGATTTTGATATTGATGAGTTATGCTGTCAATCATCATAGTCATCTGCATGCTGACTATTTTTAAGTTAATCACGCGAGCAGTACTCAGATCTTCTATCTTGATTTAAAATTTCTTTAGGATAAAGATTTCATATGTTAGCTTAAATGTATGGAAACAATGTTGGAAATCAATGCCAGTATTCAAGTAGATAGGATTTATGTTATATAAAATATGAAGTTTCAACTATAAAGCGCGAAAAGAAATAAATTCATAGAACTGCAAATTTTTTCATTCAAATTATTTCTCAAAATATGAGTAAAGTATAATATTTAATGGAATTCAAATGATCTTTAAAAGTTAAAAGAATTTCACAGTTTTATACCAATGAATCATTTTCATATTTTTGATATTTTACTTATTTCATAAAGTGAATCTTTTTTTTCTTGGTGTTATCTTTCCTTTTGTACGAAAATTTCCGTAAGGTTTTTTAAAGCATTTAGAAACTCTTCATAACTAAACTCTAACGATATGAATTTATCCCAAAATAGAAAAGTTTCTATAGAAAGTTCTAACAAAAATCGCGCACGGAATTGTGGAAAAGTATTTTTTTGTTAAAAGGTTCGAAATATTACATCATCATAATATTCGCCATGCATTTGGTAGTTAGCTTTAGAATTATCACTTTTCTTGTGCGTTCAGATAGCCAATAAATTCGAAGAATACTTTTAATAAATATTTAATAATTTTGTTTTAAATCACTGAGGACAATCAGTAGAATTTGTGATTCAGAAAGTCATTTCGAAGTAATTTAATAAATCTGTTTTTTATTTGAATTTGAATTGCTAAAAAAATATTTAATCGAATCCAATTTAACTCAATAATCGAAAACAAAAGATTGGCTGAAATAATGGCGGATTTAAATCATAAAAAAACATATATAATTAGAAATTTATCTTAAAATAATTGTAAACAGGTAAGATTATTATTATCGAAATTCTTTAAACCACTACGTTTATCGTTCTGACATAAAAATTTTCTAATGAATATTATTTGTGACATTTACCGTTTCGCTGTCATTTTTAATTGGTGAAAAAATTTTTAAAATTTTCACCTGGGCAATGAAAAGAATGTTTTTAAAAATTTTTTGCTTTTCGCTAAGAAACTTGTTTGTAAATTGTTATTTTTTAACGAAAAAAAGAGAAATGCCAGGAAACGTAAAAATTTTATGATAAGTGTTTTAAAGTTAGTTACTGGATGAGAAAAAAACTCGACATTCAAGTTTGAAACTTAATGCGGTTTACTTTGAGAGATTTAGTTAAAATAAATAATGTAACTAATATTTAATATAATTAGTTGACTTTCTCTATTTAAATAATTTAAACAGGTTTCAACAATTTTCGTATTCAAATCATTTTGTCATTTTTACCATGAACAATTTTATTTTTGCCACTGACCATTTCATAGATACTCAAATTTTACCTGCCGTTTTCAAGGAAATTTCTTGAAAACCATTTCTAGCAACAATCACCACTTTTATCGATTACTAAGGTAAATATTTCAAAGAGCTATTTGGGAGCAGAAATCATAAAAGTCACATAGCCAATGTTTTAAACTTTGCTGGATTCGTCAAAAATTTTTTGAGGAAAATTTGAGTTCAACGCTTAAACGTTCTTATCTCTATCATTTATGATTGACATGCGCGGACAAAAGGAATAAAAGACTGTAAATTACTATCCGCTGAAGCGCATAATGAAACAATTTTCACCAGTTCATTGCCTTATCAAGATTTTGTAGTATTCAATCGATGGTGATTTCGATAATAGCAAATGGTCAATCGATCATTTTGCAGTGTTTCTTAATTTCTTCGATCAAATCTTGCCTATCTAAGTCTATCATGCCAATTTATCGCACGAAAATTACATGATTGTTCCAAAACATAGATAAATTTATCTATCTACAATATAACAATTCCTATCTCAATGATTTATGGTAGATTGAAATGACTGTTTTCTTTTCAGATATTAAAAATTATTTGAAAAATTCAATAAAAAAATAGTATAAAATATGAGGAAATCCACGCTTGGAATACAAAATAATCCCCTATGATAATTTCAACATTAGGCATTTTAAAACTAACATTGTATGAGAATATAAGAGAGAAAAACTTTCAATTTTTTCAGTTTTCTCCAAGAATTTTAATGTTTACCATTTTTACCAAGGTAGAATAATACATTTCTAAATGCCCACAGTTTTATTTATTTATGGTTTCAGAAATTCAGATCAAAGATGATTTTTAGTCAGTAGATATTTCCTGGGAGCAGTAGATTGAACTAATATACTTATTCGCATTTTTGTGCTAAGATGAATGGAACTTTCGATAAAGTTTAGTTGTCAAAATGATTGATGCTAATTTATTTTGAAGTACTATTTTTAAAGGGACCAGCATGATCAATTAAAAATGTATTTACAATTTTGTGCACTCGCATCTTTTATTTCACATGCTCAGTTTATTTTGAATTAGATTTGATTGGAAATTTCTGTGAAGTTCATAGATCAGATATTTTTTATCCATTATAAAGGAATTGAATAACCTGAAATTAACGTAAAGCAATAACTAATGTAACTGATAAATTATTGTTGCAGTAGAGATCTAATAAAGATAAAAATATATAATTAATGGGTTAGAGTTTGAAAGAAGAATTAATTATTTTAAATTTTTTGTTTTTTCGTTCAAGCATTACATAATTAGACAAATTTTTTTCAAAAAGACTTGGAAACAAAACCACCAAAGTTAAATAATTTTTTTCTATTTTTCATCACATTCAAGATGATTTTAACTATTCTTAACTCCGAGTGCCAAATAGAAAGAAAATTGTAACTAAGGGAAATAAAGTACCAGTCATAAAAAGCAAGGAAAAGAGCGAAAATGTATTATTGCTTCCAGTTTTTACATTGTTCAAGGCCGTGGAGATTTCTAATAGTATTCTATTTTTAAAAAATTGCTTATATTTAATTTTGTGAATTTAATGAAGATTGTCTCAATTTTAAAATATATTCATGTATTGCAGTACTTTGTGGCGTGAAGCAAAAGGATATCAAAGGATAAGGTATATTCGATAGTTTACCTTATTTCCACTGCGGACATAAAAGGCAATCAGTAGAGCTGAGTTTTAACAGTTATTTTTCGGTACTTTGATGGATATTTTTTCTGAGCATATGCTTCTTTGAAGAATTTATATTAAAATAGTAACACGCATATTTGAAATAAGGGAAAAAAAATTTGAAGAATCTGAAAAACTCCTATTCGTTTTTTTCAAGCAAATAGTTCGCAGTTGAAAAGATGGTAGCCAAGCAATTTTTCTCGAATAAAATAAAAACTTTAATTCTAAACAGAAAAATCTCAAAATTCTGACCCATTATCTACAAATTAATCAGGATTTCAAAGCATATTTTCCAAATTATCTGACATAATATGCAACCATTCAACAATTTATCGAAACTTTTTTATAAATGAGATGGATTTTCGCCACTTTTAGAGATATTAAATATCTTTTTATATTAGAAAAAATTCACGCCAGTGATTTTTGCAAACTGAGAAAAAATGTTGAGCGCCGACAATTCATATTAGGAAATAAATGGTTAGAGGTGTGCCAATCGACGGAGTCAGTCAAACAATTCAATAAGAATCAGCATTGCTGGCCATCATTCATCGGCTCACTTTAGTAAGCATATAATCATCGCAATAAAAACGTTCCGCTCCGCACTGATTATCAAATTTTTGGACTTTTTTGAACATTTTGAACATTTGAATGAATATCCCTGTCAAGTCATATTGAAGCACTAATTTTACAGTATATTCGATATTCTTCTACAGTATTCGAAGTTATTAATTATTTCAGAACGCTTTTTGTCAGATAATCTTCTGTTACTAAGTGCAAACAATCTTTGATAATCTCTGCTATATTCATATTTCTATTGTATTTCTATTGTAATTTGATGATCTGCAAAACAAGTAATCAAATTTGACTTATTCTTATTATTATTTTTATTGTCGTATAGGAGCTATTCACATGTAATGGAATAAAGGATAGAACAAGAGATTTCATCTTCAAAGTTTTATCAGTCTGGTCGATTTAAAAAGAGAAGAAAGGAAATAAAGTCAACAGAATTCATTGAAGATTAGTAATCAGATGCAGTGTGAGTATTCCTATTATTTGCTTTCCATTCACTAAGTACTTTTATCTTTATTTTCTTCGAATAAAATAGTTCATTAAGATCTTCATTTGATAATAAGAAAATCATAAAAATCACATTTTTACATGGTTCGAAGAAATTTGAGATGGAAAATTGAATAATAAGCATATTATATTAATTATCTATAATTTTTTTTATCTATTTTCTTTAATGAGCTATATATATATATATATATATAAATCTAAATTTATGAGGAAATTCTTCATGAACCTTACCATACCATCATATCAAATGGATAAGTCAGGATGAGCCATAAGTTTATTGACATAAGGATTAAGTCATTTATAAAATATTATTATATAATAACCGATTTGAAGAAAGCAAATTAAAAGGAAATCCCAGCCTAAATTGAGCAACAATCATTAATTCGATTATGTTGTTAATGCGAACCATTTATTTATAAACGATCAGTTTTAGTGATGCGAATTTCGGAGATGACTGCTCAACTAAGCCATCGTGTGCATTTACTCTTTATTCATTACTGTGCTGAATTTAGACTAAAATTATTTTGATCCATGGTTAAATTCCAATTCCCTCATTCATCCATCATTTCCACTGTTACTCATAAGCCATTCAATATCTCCTTCTTCAGGAACTATTTCATGTTTTCCTATTTCTTATATTTTATTCATTAGAAGTTACGATTTATTTATTTTATTTATTTATTTATTTATGTTAGTCATAAGAAGTTAGTCATTATCCTTGAATATTCGTTAAACGCTTATTACAAGAATGTGCTTAAGGAAGTAATTGGGTTAATTTTGCTGGCTATTAGTAAGGCTAGAAATTTTCCAGGAAATCTTTTGGCGTCAGAAATAGATGGGTGGGTACTTCTGCTACCAGCTGATTCCTTGATTATTTCTGTCACGGTTAAGGGCCTTTGATTCGACATAGATCGAAGCAACTATATCATTCAACCATCACATTTAAAAAACATTTTTTTTTCAATGGATGGTAGATATTTTCGAAATAGGTGAAATTTTCAAATTTGTCTTAATTTTAATAATTACTTCTATCGTTTAATGGCTGCTAATTTTATTGTTACATTACCGATGAAACATTAGTGATAGAAACTCTAATGGAAAATTTTCTTAAAAAATTTCTTTTAATGATTATTTTGCGGATTTCTGCAATGGCATTTTTCATATTTTCATTTTCTGTTGTTTAATTTTTTTAAATTCAGTTTCTGAATAATTATTAGCTATTTGATGCCATATGTTATATAAGATTATATTTTTCAGATCTATTAGTTGATTATAGTAATCCTAAAAAGATTTTAAATCAATTCTCATTTTTTGATTAGTTTTAAGTTAAGCAAAACAACACAATCAAATTTAAAAAAGCAAGGTCATGTGTCTCTTAGTCAATGTGTTAAAAAGAGTATGAAATCAACATCTGGTTAAAACACACACTAGTCTAAACCACATAGAGATTCTGTATTTTATATTTTTCTTGAGGCCAACACCCAAATCTTGCTAGCAAAATTTGTAGACAAATATTTCGAGACAAAAATTTATCGATTTATCTCAGTCCAGTTTTTCTGATATGCTTGGCTTATTGCTCAACAGAATATTATGGGAAGGTTGCAAATTTCAGAAAAATAAGAAACTCGAGAATTTAAAGAAACGAAAAAGAACGACAGGATCTGTAAGTTTGATTTATTGGCAGTAAACGAAGTTTCATCACATCAAACAAGTTGATTTGCTGTACGCTGCGGTCGTTGATAAAACTCATATATTAGGTAATCGAAAGAGAAGAACAGAGAAAAGAATTGGTTTGATACGAGATCGTCGTCAATCAATTCAGCACATTTGTCCTTCCGCAGAAACTGATAAGTCCCCTTTTGATTTGCCAACCCCTTCTGGTCGTCCCATACTCTAGCCAGTTCTTCTATGTTCATTATTTCTTTTTTATTCGTCATTCCTACTATCATTTCATTTCACTACTCTTATTCAAATTTGCCTTAAAATCGTTTGATCCTCATCAAATACATTCAGTTTTATTTGATCTCACTAGTTCAAACTTAATTATTTCAATAATTCTGAGAATATCTCAGATATCAAATTGCAATTATTTTCATGCCAATTATGAAAAGAGCTCTACCAAAAGGTTTAAGAAGACATGGTACGCATGTTTTTTAATTTATCAATTCAGTGTTTTCTCGAGAAAACAAGCGAGTATTTATCATAAAAATATCTCATATAAAAAATTTAATTGCAATCAGATCGATGAATTTATCTGGCTTTAATTTTTGGAGCAATATATTCGTTTTATTAGCGTATCGACGACATTCATCAAGGTGTCACCTGATGATTAAAAAGTATGCCGATCATTGTTGCTGTATGATTTTATCGTTATCGAGAACATAGAGTGACATCTTTCGCCGCTCTAAGATGCTAAAAATTCTTTTTAAACAAGAGAATTTTATATTACATTTGTCAATATTGACTGATTTGATAAATTTCTCCTTCCGATGATTAGTTTGAACGATCGACCTTTTTATTACCGTCACATTTATCTTAATGGTTTAAAAATGAGCGAAATGACTTAAGAGAATGCGGCTGTATTTCAGATTTTGATTCAAATTTTCAGAAAACCTGAACGTAAAATATAAAGATACAAGATATTTTCTAAGAAAAAAGCTCACAGGTTAATCACGATTATTCTATGGAGAAAATCTTCTTGAACATAAGAAGATTCGCAATAGATTTATACGTTGATAAGCTACTGAGATTTGGTTTTTGATTAATTTTGGCTATAAATCTTAATTAAGTTAATTAAGAATTTATGACTAATAAATCATAATGTTTCTTCACTATTATTGTGATAATTCTTAAATAAATTCAATTTTTAATTAATTGTTGGTGAAATTCAAAATGAAAATTTTTGCCTCAGTTCCATTCATAATTTTTTTACACAGTAATTCATCATTCGCTCGAGAATTAGAAGCAATTTTGAAATCGTAACCTAGCAATGAAAAATCATTAAAATACGATGCTATTAGTGTCCTTCTACATTTTTTCATATCTCTTTTTTGCTGATAAAAAATATTAGTTAATCAAGTTATTTTATAGCAGTTATTCTATAGCTTCATGGCATTCGCTGTTTCAATTTTAGATGAGGATCAAAAACCTCCGAATGATCCTGATGAAGATGCAGCTGCTCGAATGCGATTAAAACGAAAACTACAACGAAATCGGACGTCATTTAGTCAAGAACAAATAGAAGCACTCGAAAAAGGTATTGATCCATATTTATTTTATACAGTGTTTATTATAGCTAAATATTTATTACTCAAATTACCCAAAAATATGAATGTATAAATACTGAAATAATTTTGTCTTCGCAACGAAATTAATAATGTAATTAATATTAATTAATTAATAGTGTGATAGTATACGCTGTTAATGATTGGCATTAATTATTTTTGGCTAAGGTAATTCCACCAGCTGTAGGTGTCCGGAGGAGGTTATGTCTTGCTTACTTATTAGCCTTTTTGATAAGCATATATGTAATTTTGATTCAAAAATGATGATCCGAAGTTCGCGAGACTAATCAAAATCATTGAACATAATTGCCCAATCAAATTTAAATCAATCATCCTTGGTAATCACTGATAAATTTATATAATTATGCCTAAATATTTCAAGAATCTTTATCGAATATTTCAACCACAAATATTCCACATCCTCGGCAATTAACTGCTTTCGCAATAATGACAATTTCATAATTTCACGATGAAATGATAACTTTCAGAACTGTGATAAATTAGATGCTATTTGCATAGAAATTTCTAAATTTTTTTGAATTTTCTGGTTCTTAAGTTAAATGATATTGTTAAGTTAAATGATATAAATGATATTAAAGCATTAAAATTCCTATTTTTCAATGCTAATCTTTATTAAGCAGATAAACTTAATTTCTCGACAAATTAATAAAAGGATATTTAGAATTCGAACGGACGCACTACCCTGATGTTTTTGCCCGAGAAAGACTGGCAAGCAAGATAGGCCTACCGGAAGCAAGAATTCAAGTATTTATTGAAATTCACTTTCCTAAATAATTGGAATCAAGTATGGAAAAAAAGGAAAAGCGGTAAAGTTTAGGTCCGGCTATATGAGCCACAGAATCTGCATTAATATCAGAATTTATGACAATATTAATATTAATAATATTACTGCCAGATTTTTGACTTATTCAGTTCAAATTCCTTCCTAATATAGAGAAAAAAGATAGTTTATAAATAAATAAATAAAAATAACCTGTAAAATTTGCAAAAAATTTGAAGAAAACTTAAGGGCACTTGAAGAAATCGAATGAAAAAATATATTTTCTCATGTACATATTTCTTTTTTCCTCAACTGCCATTTTACTTCCCAACAATAATTGCCAATCGATCGTATTTTATATTTATAGTTATTGCTATTTTCCAAAATTCAATTACATAACATGAAAAGTTATTTAAATTTATAAATTTATTTATATATTCATTTAAACAAATTTGAATATTAGTGGAAGCAGTTTGTATGATAATTTGTCTTCATATTTTATTGTTTCTACAGTAAATTGGAGTATACGACTAAGAAAAAAATTTTAATTATTAATGGTAAAAAAATTTTGAATCTGGATAGTAAATCGAAGATTGCTGCTGAATAAAAAACGAGAAAGTCACACGATTTTTAATAAATTGTTTTCTAAAATAAGACCCAATTCAGTGTGAAAATGAAGGTGGAAACTGGGAGCATTGGCACTGCAATTACATGCGTAGTGCTTCAAAAAATTTAGAAATTCCAAAATTTGAATTTGACAAAAAAAAGTATTTTATTTTATCGTAAACTAAGTATGAATATCATGGCGAAACATGACAGGAATAAGTTCAACCGAACAAACTTTTTGCTCTGTTAGGTTTTTCAATTTCTTCGAGTACTTTCGAGTATTTACCAATGAAATCTAAATTCTAATTCTTTGGTAAATTTCTCTAAAGCAGTTTTTATAAATGATTAATTAAAAATTCATTTCTGCGAATTAATTATTTAATTTTTTGATGAAATAGTAAATACGTAATATAATAATTGTTGAGCTCAGTTGATGAAAGCCGATTGATTCTATGAATCTATATAAATTTGCCAATATAGTAGGATAACTCGTAATCTCTGTTAGTAGGATAACTCATTTCATCAGACTTGTTAAGCTGCAATTTACCAGGGCTCAAATTTTCTTGAATCTCTTTGTGTTTTGAATTAAATGGAATTAGAAGCTATCTTTTAGAAAACTACAGTAATTTTAAATGCTGTCAGCTTTTTTAAACGCTAAACATCTGCCGACAAATTATATTGGTCCATTAATGTATATTGACAGCTCCTGATTAAAAAATTTTTTAAATTTTTTTCTCTTAAATTATTTATTACTTTGTTTAAGTTCCTGTTTTCTCCTAAAAACAGCACCAAACCTTTTCATCAAGAATTTGTTACTACAACAATATTCATCGTGCACTCCGAAAGTCTGATGAATTCATATGTCTAAATTGTTAGATCCCCAAAAAACAATGAAATACGGCAATTTTGGGGCTTTTCCGGAACTAATTTCGATTTATACTAAAGACCTAAGCCTAAATAAAAAATAAAAAATTAAGTTTTTTTCATAAAATTTTTTATTTTACACTCGAAAATACTGGCAATAAATGAAATTACCGACGTTGTTTTCCCAATTTTTTTGAAATATGATCTCTGCACTACCGTAGTCAAATAAGATCGTTAGCATCGATTAAGGTATGGTTTTCGAATAGACGAGCTAAATGGCGTCGCGAAGAAAAATTGCGGAATCAAAAACGACCTTCTATAATGGACTCCACAATAGGAACTGGAAGCAATAACACCAATTCGAATAATGCTACGACTAGTTCAAGCACAACGCAAGGTTCAATTACTTCTTTGTTCGAGGCTCACCAGATTTCACACGCATTTTAGATTGATTAATGTAAGCTAGATTATGGGAATAATTAATTCTTCAATAATACCCGAAAATTTTTAATTTTGTCTGGTAGTTCACTGGGAATTCTTCGTTAAATTGTTTTTGCAGGCAGCATAATCACTCCGATTAACAGTGGAACACAATTAACAGGTGCAAGTCCAACGCATACATCAACGAGATTTAACAACCAAACTGTTGGTTCAAGCTTTATGCCACCGAGCGGGCAAATGTATCCGTTGCCTCAAACTACTATGGATCCATATGGGTACCTTCTCTTAAATTTATTTACTTTTCCCAGTTTTTTAAAACCAATTTTTTTCGATTCTTTGAAGAATGCATTCATATTAATTCTAAACAAATTATTCTTGAGGAAACTCGCAAACTTTTATCATCAAACAAATAGGCCTGAAATTTTAACTATTTTCCAATGATTCTAGAGACGATTCATGCTAAAAGGCTTTAAATTCTTGCTTACATCACAAACTCATTTCTAAATTCCTGTTAAAGTTTCAGCTTTGCGAATGCAGGATTAGGAATGGCACCAACCCAACACACTCCAGATTTTAGCGCATATCATATGTTCCCTGGTGCAACAAGGTCACCTTACGATGCTTTTCATGTGAGTTTCAAATTTTGTTCTTGCTCTTTTAAAGGATAAAACAAATTATCAAATATGCTGTCCTGGAACTTGGACATGGAGCAGACTTGCGGAATTTCTTTATACAAGGCGAACAGTAAGAATATTTATTTGACTAAATTTGAGTAAAATTATTCTAAAAAAAAGATATCTGATTTATAAGATTCATTAACGTTAATACGGTAATGAACAATCATATTGTTATTTTAGCCATATGCAAGAGCAATGCCAGCTGGTGCCCCTCAACCCTTCTCTTCATCGATGAACCATAGTTCAATTTCGAATGTCACTGGTACGGGTTTCTGTGCTATTTTCTAATTTTCTATTTTAGAAAAAAACGAAGTTAGAAAAAACAATTCAGTCAATTTTATTTTTAATGATTGGTCGATTTGAGAATAGGATTTGCAAAACCATTGTCGTTCTACGTTTCAGCAGTAATTTATTAAATGAATTGACGAGGTGAAAAACTCAAAAAATTCTTAATAAAATTTTTCGCTTCAATAGCAAATTAACGAAACAAACTGAATGTCTACCTGAATGAATGTCTACTGAATGTCTACCTGAATCTTAAAGGAATAAATCATATAATGATTGATACGATGAGGTATTTTATTCCATTAGTTACCCACAAGATTATTTGGTTACTGTTACTGCTTATTTACTATATCTGATTAGATTCACTCAAGTGAACTATTGGAAAGAAACACAATACATTTCATTTCATAAATTCTTTATAAATTAGCCATTTTTATTTATATAGGATAAATATAGTAGTGAGTTTCATCAATTAATCATCGAACATATTTCTTTCTAATTTTACACTATTTCGGAATATTAAGATTTGCATTCCTATGAACTATGTAGTTCCAAAAGTGTTCATGTTTTTAACATGAACAAATTTTTCCATTATAAATCTATCGTCAACCAATTTCCATCTTAGAATTAAATGCATGTCTTTTTGAGTGGCAATAGTTATAGCAGGTTTTACTGATACAGTAATTTCATCTTGATAAATACCTACCTCGACAGATGTTTCGGCGCAAAATTACAATTTTACAATTTTAGAAGAAATTATCAAAATCTTTCAATGAGCGACTTTTTGGAATTTCCTTACTATAGAAACGCTTAAATATCAAAAGATTCCAGCAGTTATGCTGCAAGGGTGTAGGATACTCAGTTTAAATGATGGCACTATCTAATAAATATCATAAATTTTGCTATTAAATAGCGATTGGTCAAAAAGTTATCTTATGGAAGCTTCAGGATTGCCGTTTGGTAATATTTTGATTTTTTGTTCGAGAATCTGTTTGATAATTAGAAATGCAAAACCATTGTTTAAATCCCATATGCAAATTTTAAATAAGACAAACAAAATACTAAAACAAAATAGGCGTTCGTCTCGCTCTCCTTAATTTCTGAAAATGGGTAGCCTATAAGCCAACCTCACTTGCTCAATTTCCAGTCCTCCTGTATTTTTTTGTAAATTTCCAGCTTCCTTATCTTTTAATGCGACTTTTTTCTCATAAGTAATATTTTCATTTAATGGCCGTCTTCAATTTCTTATGATATTGTTTAGTGGTGAAAAGACTTTTGATGTTACCGCATGAATGGTTCGCAAACGATAATAGTCCCTATGAAGTTTTTATTTTATTTAGTCCTTATTATGATAAAAAAATTGTGTAAAAATCAATTTAATGCACTTAAGATGAACTTCATTTTCCGATTTTATCGTGAGAATTAGAGAAATATTTATTAGAATTACAAGTGATTTTAAAAATTAATTCATCATCCTGTATTCCTTTCAATTGCAAATTTTTCTAAATAGCAAAAGCTTATAAGCTTAATTCTGATACATACATCACAGCGACCTTTTTAGTATTCCAGTTTTGATTAGAAGATAAGAAATCAGAATGTGTTTTGAATGGGACAAATATAGTTAGAACATTTACATTTACATTTACATTTATTAGTCATCCATTTTGGAAAAACTTTTAAATCGTTCTGAGGATCAGCTTTTTTGTTGCTCCAATTTGTCAAAAACAACACAATTGATAATTTTTATCTGAGAATGTACCGCATAACTACATAAAACTGTAAAAAAATAGAATTCTATAGCTGTTTTTTGTTTGGAATATCTTTGCCTTTAAAAGCGAAATCTTGTTATTTTGAAGACCCTTTTATACTTCTATTAAACAGCTTTTTTGCAAGATGTTCTAACTCAATCAGTCCAGCCAAACAAAAAATGACTATTTATAAAATATGAAGCATCTCCTTTTTGAGAGAATTAGATAAATAAAACATTGTGCCCAAATAACAATTATTTATTCAGTGTAATTAAGATTGGCAAAAACCATAGACTTTTCATTTTTTCCTTAGAAATTTCAGGAATTTTGGTGCCAATTAATCTCAAATTATATTTATCTACTTAATAGTAGAAATTTCGTGTTAATTTCAATTCTGAATATTCAAATATTTTATTTTCCTTGAATTCTTTACTACTTTTGATTTTATTATTATTAAAAACGATACTAGAATTGACGAAGAAGTTAATTATACTAGATCTCGGAAAAGCATAATGTGAGGCAATTTCAGGCTTGGGTGCAGGAATGAGCCTACCAGTTTCTGTGCTTTCCAGTATAGATCAATCGATACCATCGCAACAGCCGCCTCGATTTGATGATTTAACTGATTTGCATCATGAATCTCAATACTGGCGCTCAAATTTCTCTTCCTAAATCCTTATTGCTCTGGATTTTTCTCTAGAATTTGATTCAAAATTCTTTGTCAAAGCTAAACAGTCTAGAAAGTTTTATATTTTCTAGACGAGTACAAGAAAGATGAGGAGAATATTAAATCAAAATTTCCAACTTTTTTAAATCTTAATTCTCGATATAATGAATTATCAAATTGAAGAAATCCTGGCGTTTTTTGCATTATATTGCGTACATCATATTGAGAATCCAACGCAAATTCCAGATCTCTTTTTTGAAAACTATATAAATTGTTTTAGGTGATTTATAATATTTATGTGCAATAGTAGTGATTTAGATAAAAAACATCGCATGAAAAAATTTTGATAGTATTTTAAAGAGATTTTATAAATCACCTAAAAAAACAATCGAAAGAAGCAATAAAGAAGCCTTTGAAAAAGTTCAAGCTGAAGAATTATGGTATCTGTTCCTTACAATACCTATCCATTTTAAAGATAGGTTCGAGAATTTCTTGCAAAAATTGCTTCAAATTTTTTGATATATGCTTGTATATTGACATATTCTTGAATGAATTTTTGTATCAAATTTAAAATTTGGGTATTTATGATTTTTTTTCATATATTCGATGTTAAAACATTTTTACTGGCGCAGCATTGATTCAGTAAAAATGCTACATGATAAATAAGAGATGGTAGGAAGTAGATCCTAACCTTTTATTTATTAAACTTTTGCCGAGTGACCTTTTTTTATAATTTTTCCAAAATTAAATAATGAAATGCAGAAGTGCAGATCGATGGGGAGCAATACTTCCAGTCCAAATCCGTATATATTCCGTTTTCTCTTTTAGCTTATATTCTGTTTTCTCTGATCTCTACTAAAGAAGTCAAACGTATATTTTAAAGTCTCAAGAACTATTAATTATTAGTTTTTGAATTAGTTATTCATGCTTTATGTTTAATACCAAGCTTAATGCAGTTTATCAGCTATTGTCCATTTACTATTTACAGAGATGCAGGAAGAAGATCAGCTATAAGCATTCTTAGTTGCGATTTTAGTATTTTTAATGCCATAAGTTGCTTATGATTATTTATCCAACAACTATTATACTGACTGGTACTTGATTATTAATGATGTTGTTTTAATTAAATTTCAACGAACAAATTTTATTTTAATATCATATCAAATATATTTGTGAATGGTAAATTTAAAAATTTCCAAATTTCCTATCGCATTAATTCTATTCAATCATAAATTTTGGTATAAATCAGAATTTTTTGAATAAATCGAAATTTTTGAAGAACACTGGTGAAATTATTCATCAGGATAAAACTTTGGTGCTTTTTTACGTGAATGCTTATAAATGCTTATTTTTAGATATACTGGCCCGAATACATTACCACCTTATCAACTCATTTCGCTAAAAATCATTTCAAATTTTTGAAGTAATCTAGAAATTCAAAAAACAATGTCGATAAAATTTTGAACAACCGTTCAATTATAGGGCTAATATAAAGGATTGGAAATGCTGAAATAGAAATCAAAATAACAAGGAGAAAATTAAGACTAGATCGAATCTTTTTTGAGATTCTTTTTTAATACTGCTTATGTATCAGACTACTGATTAGCAAGAACAACGGAAAACACCATCTAATCTTCGAAAAAAGTATCGTTAAAATAATTATTAACGACACAATGCGGGATTCTGCATGCATATCTAAAGATTTCAATATGAAGAAGCTATGATCTTTCTACAAAAATCACCTTGTATTTTATAATGGACTGTGAACATTTATTTAAAACCTTGCTGCTTGAATGTCCCCTGAGGAAATAATTTTTGCATCGCATTGGTTCAATAGCTCAGTAATAACTTATTTCTTTAAAAAACTATATTCGTAAAGTGATATTTTATTATAATATCAACAGGATTTCAAAAATCACAGTAAGACGTAATTTGTTTTTGTTTTTTTTTGTTTTATTTATATATATATATATATATATATATATAGACAATATTGGCAAAATTTGTTTTTCCATTGCTCGTTAAGGCCAAATTCAAATGGACCATTTCCTTGAATTTCAAAACATTTTTCAATTTACTAATCTTATGTGGTAACAATAATAAGAAAGAGAATAGCATTCTTTGAAATAAGAAGTTGTATTCATATGAGAAATGGATATGACACAAAACATTTACTAGATTTAAAAAATTTTGGAAAAAAAGATTTAATGGATCTTTCATTCCTAATTTGCTCCTCAAAAACATGAATAAAATCACTTTTAAATCGCAAACTTTTTTCGAAAAGAAATTTTAAAATTTTTCGTCCTTAGAAATCCTGATTGAATAAATCATTGAACTTTAAAACCGATGAACTGATGGATGCAACAATTGAATGAAAACCACTTCTTTAATTAATCAGATTTTATTACCAAATCATAGTGACAAATCCTCTAATCTTCGGCGATCAGCCAAGCTTCTGAGAGAATCCCATAGGCACATTTTAAGCCTTATATGATAAGACAAGGGAAACAATCACTGTGAAAAGTGTTCTCACGCAAATTTTCAATACTGGATGTGATCAGAGGAATTGATTTTTTTTCTTTTCGTCTGAATCGACGGTACAATGAATTGTAAAAGAATTTTAAAATTTTTATAGACGGCATTCAACAATTTTTATTATCGAACAATTTTTGATGAAACAAGCACTCTCTCCATTTAATTTCATGCAATAAAGTTTTTGCAAAAAATTTCAACTGACAATTTCTCAAAAAAAATTATTTAAATAGGGACAATGATTTACAAAATAATAACCAAAAGTTGTGGGAAAATATGGCCATACTACACGTATAAAGAGTTGCAAAAGCTTATCAAAACAAAGAGATTGACCTATTTCATTTGTTGCATTTCTTTTAACTCACTTAACTGTAGCTCATTTAACATCTAATTTTAACTCACTTTATTAAAGGAAAAATGATTCGTTCCGTGCTATTTATTTATCTTTTCGTTTCTTAAATTAATCTTAAAGTGTGCAAGGGCAAATTACACAGCAAACGATAGAATGCAAGAATTCTTATTGACGCGATATTTGTAGAAAAATAAAATACAATGGAGTTTTTATAATGGCATAGAACAAATTTGAAATATTTGAAGCTGTTGATTGATTGCTGCATCTTTCTCCTCCTAATAGTATTCATCATTTCTTTGACTTACTCCACTGACTGACCCTTTTTGTAGAAAACTTAAGTGAACAGAAAATTTTAAGGCGGATATGCAAGTGGACGCCTAGCATCACGCGGATTTATTTGATTACACCGTCTATAGAGATAAGACTGAAGCCTATAAGCTTAACATTAATATTGATCAAAGCAACATCCAAAATAATTTGTAAAATAAAGCCTATAGGACACCAGGTATTTTCCACTGAATTTTCCTTATTTTTCTTTTTATTACCGATAACGAGTAGAATGACGATTAGAAACTTAAATGAATAAGTTTCCCATGTATTTGTTTATTAAAGGCTGGCATATTTATTTCATTTCACAAGTAATAAATAGCAATTGATTCCAAACGCATGAAAATATTGAAAAAAATTGATATGAAAAAAATATGAAATTTTCCAGTAATAAGCAATGATCGCTTTCGCAACAAGAAAAAATTAAATCTTGATATAATTCGTTAATATTAATAAGTCATAAAATCAAAGAGATCCATGGAATAATTGCAAAAGCTTAAGAATCGAACTTTTGCGGAAATTCATAGAATAATACATTTTGATTTCTCTGCCCAGGGATTGAAGCGTTTATCAACTGGATTCACTAAAGGATCGGATTCTTGTTGCCCTTCGATAAACCGTTTCATCCTGAAATTCCCTATAATTGTTCCCCGAAAGGCGACAGTCACAAGGTTTTTATGGCGTAAATATTTTATTTCATTTAGCTTAATCAGTTAATACCAATGAATTCAAAATAAAAGATTTATTATAATTATTAGATTAGTTGATGATAGAGAATAAAACAACATTTATCAGGATTTTTTCATAAATTTTTTCATAAATTCATCATCCTCGAGCAAATATTAATTAAATATTAATTAAATCAAAAATAATAAATTAGTTAAGCAACAATTTTAAGTCTCAATTCTGCATTTGTAATTAACTCACGATATCTTTAAAATACTCAAATATTATGTTTTCTTAAAAACATATTTCGAGATTCGATATTCCCAACTATTAACGATACTGACACAAAGCTTGATGGTATATCTGCTAGATTCCCTAGAATTAGCCAAAAAACATAATTTTGAAATCTCCATAGAGATTTTTTGATAAAATATTTTTTAATAAACTAAAATTTATAGTTTACTCGTTGGCTGACTGCGAAATTGGTATTCGTTGTATATTTAATTGATGCCGTAAACTTTCAACACTTCGCTGCATATCTCCTTTGTCCATTTATATATCTAAGATATATTTTATATCATTGGAATAACACAAAAAATAAGGGAAATAAGGGAAATGGACAAATCGAAGAATTAATGCGACCAGCGCGTTACATCGACAAAGAATAATTAATGAACGAAAGATAAGATATCGATTTGATCTACTAAAATAAAAATGAAGATTAGCGCAAATATATTAAAGCTGCGAATTTTCACTAATCAAAGAAATATATGTACGTAAATATAATAAAAATAAAAATGGAAAGATAATAATTGTAGCAGCATTATTATGTAATTGTAATTAATTTTTAGTGCCGCAAACCTCATTGAATATAAGATTGGGCCTTTGTTAATAGCGTTTTTGCCAAATTTTCGTTTAAATTACCGAATTTCAATATGAGAAAAAGAAAACGTTTTAATGATGGAAAAAGATAGCAATGTGGATAGAAGCTTAGATCATTGTGTTGAGAGGTAAAGATGAAATTTTTGCTTGTGACAGGAATAGACCTAGAATTGAAGAATCCGAGTGGCGCAGCCCAATTAGATTAGAAGCATCTATGCTTCTATTTCCAAATGATTCCTTAGCAAACTTCTAAACACATTGGCAGCCAGCGACGGAGCAACAGTCAGAAAAAGTGGGCTAAGTGTTTATTCTAAAATGATGTGAATATCAAATATATCTACAGACTTTTAACCTCCAATTTAATATAATCATCTGGAGCTAAAACTATTCTTTAATAAATTCTCTCGGCCATTTGATGTCGAATGATCAACTTAAAAGATAAAAATAAAATAAAATATTGAATAAAATGAAAATCTTGGATTTATATTTTCCTAGAAATATTCTCAATTGTTTTCATGAATTTATGCATGAGATATAGTTATATGTGAACGATAAGCAGATATTAGTATGAAAAAAGTTGCACCGAAATTTTAAAAATGCAGTTAAAATGCAGTTTTTGCCATTTAATCGGCTAATTTCGATTAACATATGTTTTATTGTGGATTTAGTTCCTCCTTTAAGAAAAATTATACTAAATTTTCAATATGAATATTAAAACATGGCGCTTATTGAAGTCGAAAATTGCATATTGTATGGTTCAAAAAATCAAGAAACGAAGGAATGAAATAAAAAAATAATTGACTTCATGAAAATGTGAAAAGATTAGGATTCGAAATTCGAAAAGAAAAGTTTCTGCTTGTTATAAAGAAAATTATTTTGAAAATCTTCGATTTCCACCGTTTGATAATAGAAATTTTTTATAAGCTTAAATTAATTTATATAGAAATAATTTAAAAATTTAAATCTTAGCAGATTTTTGCACAGAAAACTGAACAAACAAGTTTTCTTGTTTCATTTTGGTATATTTTGTGAGCTTAAAAAATTGGTACTTTCTCCTTTTTTTTAAGCACCTTCGAGTATCGAAACAGCGATTCAGCCCATTTATTTTTATTTGAATTAAAAAGTACGAACTTCGATTTAATGATGGGGAGAAGCGAGTTAGGCAAAAATATCGTTTCAATGAAGTATTGAGAATACGTGAAGAACCTCATAATCTTTAATATCTGATTGAGCCGCATTTACTTTTTCTTAATGTTTTTATTGCAAAATATTCTTCCTCATCGATTTTCTTGAATAAAGGGTATTGCATGATGGTTTGTGCATAAAAATAAAAAAAAAATATTTAAGAATGAAAAGAATTTCCATTTCTGCAAATCTTGAATTGCTTAAAATGCTTTAACTAAAACAAATATTATTGTTTTAACTAAGTAGCATTTTGAAAGAAAAATCCCAAAAAGCATAATATGGAAATCGTGCTAATTAGTTAACATAAACTATGCATTCTATCAATAAAGAATAAGCGGTTTCTATTAATGAAATAAAAATTTATGCATTGTCCACTAAAATAAAATGGGTGTTATACAAAAAGTAAACGAAAAAAAATTGCGAAGAAATATAAAGAGATATTCAATATAAATATAAATATATATATAAATATAAAAATATAAGAAATACTGGCAATGTACTTGTTTAATTTACTCAGCTGAAAAGACTATTGAAATCATTCTATGCAACATTTCGCGTTTCAATGAAAACTATAGCCTAAGAAGTTAGGCAAGAAAATTTCAATGTGAACACATGAGGGACTTTAGACTTCATGATTTTCAATACCCAATTCCGAGGTGATCACCATTAACCTAAGCTAATTTTTAATAATTTTAATGATCTAATTTATTTAACAACACTGGTTTATGGATTTAGTTGGAATGGATCCTAACTCTAACCACATTTGAACTCAGCCTTATCTGGCCAATTCGTGCTGAATAATTAACTGATTAGATTTGAAATAACATGCCTCTTTGTTAAAGTAGCGTGCAGATAACAAATTCTTACGATGATTTCGTCACTGAGTTATTGGAAATAAATTCTTTTGTATTGTCAATTAATTTAGTAAATTTAGTAAATAAATTTTATTTTTTATCATTCATAAATAGTAATCATAAACAATAAATTTCGTTAACTAATTAAAATTCTGAAAAAATTATTTATCTGTAAAATTAAAAAAGTAAATTATAATGATTAAGAAGTAGAGATTGAAGGAAATTGGCTTATTTAGCATTTTTCGATACACCTAGGAGCCTCACACGCAACATCATCATCGAACTGGGCTACAAACTCTGGAGGAAATAGAATATTGGAAAATCAATAGACCAGAAAGATGTACGCAAAACAAATGCGACGCGTTTAACATGCGTCCATTCTCCTATGGATATCGAGAAGAGCATAGTGGACATAAAAATTCATTAGGAATTTTAAGCGATCATAAAATTTTCACTTGATCTGCATAGCGTGGATTAACAACGGATTTACAATTTCATTAATCACGCTGATTTGGTACAATAATTATTTATTCTTGATAAATGTCGAATTTATTTCAAACCAGCTTCAGCGAAATACAATCGTTTAAAATTTGCATTTTCCAAGATTTAGCAAAATTTCGGATTTATCAAAAAACAAAAATAAAATTTTAAAATAAACGGAATTTTTTAACAAAAATTTGTCTTCCAATTGGCCGATATTAACAAATGCTAAAAAACAGAAGAATTTTCAAGAAATTCTTTGGAGGAACGAACTTAAAATGTGATTCAAGAAATTTTTCAAAAAAATTTTTCAAAACCATAATCAATAGTTTCCAACTTCGATGATTTTAGAGACTCTCAAAGTGTGGTAACGTCCAATTTTATATCTATTTAAGATATCGAGCAACAAATATAATAAAATATTTGTTCATTCATATTGATGACTGAAAACTTTTAAATTCAATGTATTATATTAATAAATATTTCATGAAGACACAAAAAATTTATTGGAATTCATCTTTTATCAAAATTCTTTTAAGGCACAATGCCTCAATAAATAAATCCATGTTGCGAAAATTATTAAATCATTTTGACTTGGTAATTATAACAATTAAGGCTTTCTGCCTTCATCTCTTATAGCTAATGATAGCATTCATTTCTTAATAAATAATTTAAATAAGTAGATAGCAAAAAAATAAACAAATAATATAGAGAGGACAGGATAATTGAGTGGCTATTACTCATTAGATTATTGTCTCGAAGTTTCTGCTTCTGGAGAGAATAAACCACTAAAATATTCGAGTGCTACAGAGGATCGTACTCTATTCTCAACTCCCAAGTGAATCTCAAGTGAACCTTTGGCAAGAATTTTTAGTCGCAACAACAGCCAATGATAAGCGTTTTGTCTATCATAAAAAAAGAATTTTTTTCATAAATAATCTATTTCCCATTAATTCCTCACATTTTTTGAAGTTTTCAAAATAAAATAGAAGAAAAATAAATAAGAAAATTATAGAATAGTCGAAGGGACAATAACTCGAATTATCGTTAAGGAGAAAGTGATCCTATCGCCCAAAGGAGCTAACTTATTACTTATGCTGGTGATTTTAATTTCTATTACTAATTCCTTAGAAAAAATTTCTAGTCGTACTAATAATCGGCAGATAAAGCCAGAAATAATAAGCTTTTTTTATTTAATCAGTAATAAATGAGATAGATGAAATTCCAATCAGAATTTATGAATCAAACTTCGAGCACTCATTGCTATTTTCTACAAAACTTCATTTTAAAACGTTGAAGTGAAAATCAGACATAGCTTGAACTTTATCGATTTTTAGTTCAATACACCGACTGAGGCAGAAAGTATCTTCACTGTTATTCGTGATAATCAAGTGGGGTGGATTGCTTCAGCTCAACCTGCTCATATATTATGGAATTGATTCTTGAGTAAATTTACCATTTGAAGTGGGATCTGGCTGGAAACCTATCTTCTTCTGCCCTCAAGCGATTCTGCGGCGAAAGGATCTCGCCGCATTAATCAGTATTGTCAACCAAAGCAAAAAGTGAAATAGATAGGTCTTCTTTTTTACAATAATATTAATTTCTCATTAAGAATTTATTCTATTGGCAAAAATTTGCAGTATTTCCTGACCTATTTTATCCACATTTTCTTTCTCTTGTCATATGTTTTTTTTCCACTTCTTTATCTCCTATTTGCCGTGTTATTAGAAGGAAAGATTATTGTAAAACCGATAACTAACCAGTAAGTGCCAAAGAGCGCCTGTGGATCTCAACTCTAAACTCTAAATGTCTAAAATTAGTAGTAAAAAGCTGGTAGAACTGGTCGAAAGCTGGCTTAGCTCCTACTGATTTGCTCAGCATTTTCAAAGCCCTGTTCAATATAAAAAATTGGAAATCTTTAGAAATGGAAAAAAAGCCAAGGAAAGTATATCATAAAATTTAAAAAATGAAAGGCGACAGCTCAATGCGCTGATTTTTAAATTTTTTAATCAATAATAAGCTGAAAAAAAGGTAGAGAGAAGAATTATTCTGCTTCCAAAGTACTTACGATTTCAGCCTTAGTTCCACTGGTGGGTTTAGATCCCTCTGTCGAAGATCTTTAATATTATCCGAACTGTTCGATATCATTAT